CAGAGATATCAGAGACTAAATAATTATAAATTATAATAATTAAATTTATTTAGAAGTATTTTTAGAGTAATTTTATAAATTTAAAATAATATTTATAAAAAATAAGATAATAGACTATTTATTTTTATAATTAAATATTAATCTAAAGATTAATCTAGCAGAAAATTATAAATTAAAAATAAAAATAATTTATAAAATATTATTTACAGAGTAGAAAGTACTCTAAGAATATTTATAAAAATATTTTATACAAAAATAAATCTAATATTTAAAATTATTTATTTAAATATTAATTTTTTTATAGAATAGGAATAGAAGTTTATGAATATATATTAATTATTATAAATTAAATAAATAGATTATTAAAAATAAATATTTATTATTATAAATTAATAGCTATATTAATTAATTTATAAAAATATTATAATTTATATAATTAAACTTTTATAAAGCTTATTATAAAATAAGAATTATAATAGATTAGAAATAAAAAGTTTTTTTAAAAAATATAATCTATTTAATTATTTAATTATATTATTCAGATTAACTTATATATCAGCGAGATTTTAAAAATTTGAAGAACTTTTTAGTTATAAAATATCTGAATAATTTTATAATTATTTATTTTAATAATATTATAATATACTTATAAGATCTAAAGATTTATAAATTTAAATAAGTTTTAATTAAAATAAATCTATATATAAAACTAAATAAGTATTATTTTATATAAATTAAAATTAATTTTCTTAATTTTATTATTAATGATAAAGATATATAGATAATATTAGAATAAAGTATAATATTTTATAAATAATCAAAGTTATTAAATATAAAGAATATACTATAATATATAAAATTTAAATATTTAATTTTATAATTAATAATATATTATTATAAAGAAATATAAATAGTTAGTAAATTCTAATTCTATTTTATTTATAAAAGCTAATTATAATAAGACAAATTATAGAATCTATAATTAAAAATTATTTTATCAGTAAACTTATTTAAGAAATAATATTACTAATTAAAAAAAGTAGATTTTATAATTAAAATATTTATTAATTATAAAAATATTATATATTTTATAATAAGCTCAGAGCTATTATAAAAATAAATATAATAAATATAATAATTTATAATATTTTAATTCTATTTTATTTATTATTTAGATGCACAGGATCCTGCAGATATACTTTTATAATATTTAGATTATAAAAAAAAAATTAAAAATTATAAAAAGCTAGATAAACTAAATCTATAATAATTATTTGATTTACTTGAATTAAAAAAGCTAAAGAATATAGAAACAGAAGCTTTATTTATAAATATTAAATAGATTTTTATTTACAAATATATTTTAAATATATAAAGAATTATAGAAGAAAAGATAGTAGATAATATTATTATTATAAAAAGATTATATTATAAAAATATTTTTATAGAGCTGCGAATTATAATATTTATAATATTAATAAAAGCTTAATAAATATGAAGAATTTATAAAGAAATAAATAAGATTTTATAATAAAAGATTTATAAAAGTCTTTTCTAAAAGATGAAATAATTATATATTCTCTGTAATTATAATTAAGTAATAAATATAATAAATAATAAATATAAAATAATATTTTTAATTTAAATATAAATTAAGACTCAGAATTTAGAGCTTAGAATTTTAAAAGTATATTTTTAATAAATTCTTTTTTATTTTTCTTTTTTTAAAAAAATATTCTTTTAATTCTCTGGCTCTTTTCTCTCTCTTTTTATTAATATAAATAGGTACTTATCTGAAGATAGTCGCGGTTATTTATAATTATAATTATCTAACTTTTGCGGCTTTCTGACTCTTATAGTTATCTAGTTTTTATAATTATTTAATTCTTACAGATCTAAAATATAATATTTTATAATTTTATATTAATTTCTAAATATTTATTACTTTGTAAGTTTATATTATATAATCTAATCTAAGAATTATAATTAATTATCTTAGTGTCTTATTCTCTATACTGTATATTTCTGTTTTATAAAAAATTATTATATTTATTATTAAATCATTATTTGTTTTCTTTCCGCGTGTGCCTGTGATAAGTATTTTTTTAAAAAGATTTATTTTATTTCTTATAATTAATATAAACAGAGTTAGTCTATTTTTATAATTATATCTATTATTACTACTGCTGCTATCTTTATTACTACTGCTATTATTTTTATTATTACTGAGGTTAATAATATTACTGCTATTATTTTTATTATAATTCTCTTTTTCTTCTTTTGCAGTAAATATCTGTACTCTTTATAAAATATATAAAATTAATTAAAATATAATTTATTATTTTATTTACTGAAGCTTTTAAAATAAATTAATTTTTTATAATTAATTTTTATATATTTCTTTTATTATTTATTATCACAGAGAAGATATTATTTTAAATATTATTTTTCTTATTTTTATGATTTACAGATTATAGATAGATAGATTATTTTTTTAAAAAGAATATTTAAAATTATCTAAAATTAATTTGCTCTATAGAATATTAAAATTATAAATTAGACTTTAATTTTGTTTGTAAATCTATTTATAATAAAATAATTTATTAATATTTTTATAAATATATTAATAATCTTATTAAATCTCTTTTTTTAAATAGAATTACAGTCTCTATCTAATTCTAAAAAATATTAGATTATATATTTAGTAATAAGATATATACTTTTTATTGAATATAATAATTATTATTAATTAAAAGTCTAGATTTAATTTTATAAGATTTTTCTTATAATTAAAACTAACTGACTTTTTTTTTCTAGTTAAATATATAATATATATTAGAATTCTTTAGACTTAAAAATATTTCTAATATATATTAATAATAACTTTAAATAAAAATATAGTAATAATATTTTTTATTATTAATATTTTTTAATATATAATTTTATATAAAATTTATTCTTATTTAATTTTTTATTATCTAAAATTCTGATAGACTCTACTATAATTCTTTTATTTAATTTATTCTTATAATTTTATATGTAATATTTATTATTCTTATATTTAAAAAAAAGTTCTTTTTATCTTTTTTTTAAAGTTTATTTTTTAAAATTTATTATAAGATAATATTCTTCTGAGAGAGACTTTTTTTAGAATTTTTTAAATAAAGAATTATAATCTTAATTAATATAATTTTCTAGTTTATTTTATTTAGATTATTTTTTTAAATTATAAATAAAAAATAATTTAAATAATAAAAAATTTATTTCAGAATATTTATATAATAAATATTATAATTAATCTTAAGAAAGTAATTATAATATTTCTTATATATAAATTAGCTTTCTTTATTCTAATTATACTCTTAATAATTATTTAGTAAATAATAATATTAAATTTAACTTTTTTTAATTATTTAATCAGTTAATATTACTAATAACAAAGAATATTTTATTAAATTATTTAAGAAATTTCTTTAGATTTTTTTTATTTTATTATTATAATTTATATAAGAGTCTTTCTTTTTATATCTAAGTTTTTAAATAATTAATTTATTAATTATAATAAATTATTTTATTATATAATTTTATCTATTTTTTATATAAATATAATCTAGAAAAATATATATTATTTATTTCTTTTATAAAAATAACTATAAATATAATAGACTTTTTTTATTTTATTTATAAATTATTTTTATTGATAAAAAGTCTTTATATAAAGCTTTTTATAAAAAAGAAGATATATCTTATTATTTTTTTAAAAAAACTTATAATCTAATAAATAAGTTTAAAATTATATAATTAAATATTAAATAAAAAATAATATTATTAATATAAATAATAATATAAAATATTACTATAAGTTTTTTAATTAGAATTATAACTAAGCTTTTATTATCTAATATTTTTATTATTATTAATTAAAATATATCTTATAATTATTTAAATTTATTTATAAAATATATCTTACTTATATAAGTTCTTAAATAATATTTTAATTATTATAAATTATTAATTTAAAAGAATTTATTATTTTTATATATTAAATAATTTCTAATTCTTAAAAGATTATCTCTTTATAATAATTAATTTTTAATATTAGAAGAATAATTAGATTAAGCTAATTTAATAAGTAATATTTAATATAAAAGAAATTAATAAAAAAATAAAAATATTTAAATTATATTTTTTAATTTCTTCTTATATATTATTATTTTTTATTTTATTTAATTATTTATTTAATTACAGCATGCTAAACAAAGTATTTATATAGATATTATTAAGTCTTTGGGACTAAGAGGACTTATACAAGAACCCCATAACAGTTTTAACTGTTTTATAATCTTAATTAATTTATAACTATTATAATAAAAATCTAGAATATAAGCTTAATTAGATAGCAGATAGCTTCAGCTTATAATTTTACTTCAAATTTAGATTTAGAAAATATCGAGAATATCTGATTATAATAGTATTAGTAATTAGAAAAAAAGATAGATAGTTATATTAATTAAAAAAACATATACACAGTGTAAGACATCAACCTAGGGGAGTTGTTGCCACTGAGCCAAAAGGCTAACATTACCCGCAGTTACCTGCGGACCCCTAGAATCCCATATATATACTCAGGTACACCCGGGAGGAGGTGGGCTTCACCCTTGTAAGTATGCATATCCCGCGATATCATCCCTTACACACAGCTTGATTTTAGTATGATTATACAAACTTTCTCTAAGGGACAGTATAGAGAATTCTTAATTATTAAATAATAGATCTTAGCTAATAATAAAGAAACTATATTCTTAATTTATTTTTATATCTATTATAATTTAAAATATTAATTACTAGAAATATCTAAAAAGTATATAAATTTATAATTCATAAATTTTTACTGATTTAGAAAAAGATAATAATTATTCTTATTCTTTTTATAAATAATAATAGAAATCTTTTAATTAAGAAGAATGTAAAGAAAGAAAAGAGACAAAAAAATCAGATATTTATATCTCTTTAAGCTCTGTTTTAATACTTAAGAATAAGTTAGCAATAATAATTTAATAATATTAAAGTGAATAAACAATAAAGAATAAAAAAAGCTAGTAAAAAAGTTATAGTAAGTTAATTATAAAATTAATATAAACTAACAGAAAGCTTCAGCAAATCTCTAAAAAAAAGATAATATTATAAAACATATTTTATAATTATCTAATTTAATTAATTAATCTTATTAGATTAATACTTACTCAGCTATACTTATATATAGAATTATTAAATCTCTATAAATTCTTTTTTAAGTACAAGTTATTTCTTCTTGTACATAGAGGCGTGGTTCTCCAAGCACATGGACTCCACACCTAACACTAGTCATTCGGTTGATCGACTCTCTAGACCCCATGGGGCCCCATCATAGTGGATGCACGGGTGCCTGGATTGAAGCTCTAATATTAGGCTGATGTCATCATGATTTATTTACTGACTCAGTCGACTGACTGAACATTTATCTATATGCTGTAGTTTGTTCATCTACTGCCATACACAAAGCAAAAATAGGTACTATATATATTGCGCATCGCAACTTTGCTTCTGCGCGTTAATTACTTCTTGGCAGATATACCTTTAAAAGCATTTCTGCTGTACTTCTCATTAGACTGTGGTGACATTGACACTCTTTCTGCTATCTCAGCCCAGACGATAGTACCTATAAGTATGATCGTGTACACTGGGCAGAATCCTTTAGCTATCTTGTAAGTGATATTATGTAATAGAACTTAAAACATCTAGATATACATAAAGCAAGATTTGAGAACAGATGTCAGCCATGTCTTCTTTATTATCTGACCTCCTATATTATCTCACCCAAATACAGCTAGCACAGCAGTAGTTAACCAAAACAGTGCCAGAGTTGAAGGAGTAACTGGACACAGATAATTTCAGCCCAACCTTAAGCCGAGTTTTCTTGTAGAATGTGGCTGTTCGAAGCTGTACTCTCCTGGCCTTCGACGACTATCTTACACTCAGAGCATATAATGATCTGGTCTTTCACATAACTGAGAGGGATGTCAACAGTAAGTCAAACCTAACACCTACTTTCATGCGGGACACATTTATATACAAAATTACAGAAAGGTTATGATGCGCGACCAATTTTAATCACACACAGGGGGTGCGGTGTCGCTATACATAAGAGTCAAACATGAAAGAAATGAAGACTATACTCAGGCAGAAGATTGCGGGGAGCTTTACAAACCCATGGCTTCTCTGACTATTCCCATGGTTATGTCAGCATTGGCTCGAGCAGCTCGAGCGCCTTTGTCCGAAATAGCATCGAGGTATTCAGTCTTGTCATCCATGAGAGAGAAATACCTATCCCTTATCGGCTGGAGATGATTCGAGATCTGACCCGCGAGACTTTGCTTCAGGGCCCGAATACTCATTGACTGATACTCCAAGGCCAAGTCTTCACAAGTCTTTCCTTCAAAGTGACTAAGAAGCTCCAAAAGATTGGATACGCCCGGTCGGCGGATTGGATCATAAGTTATCCTTGTATCCGAGTCGGTGAGAGCGGCTTTAATCTTTTTATGAATTTGATCAGAGCTATCAGTAAGAAGGATTCTTGACCGTTCATCGACATGGGACTTTGACATCTTCAAGGTTGGCTCCCTGAGAGACATTACTCGCCTTGCAGGTGCTAGAAGGTATTAATGTTTTGTTAACACCTCTTTTGTACATAAGTTATTTCAAAGAATAGTCAAAGGAGAAGATCTTACATATAAGGGCTTCCGGGCATGGAAAGATGGAATCATAGACATGATTGAAGCTATTCGCAATATTTCTGGAAAACTCAAGGTGTTGCCTCTGATCCTCTCCGACAGGAACGTGAGTGGCTCTAAGCCACATTAGTACTGATACCAATTCAATGTCAGCTATATCAAACCTGTGCACTAGTATATCCGCCGCCTGTAGAACGGGATATGAAAAAAGTCCCAGTCGCAACTTAGATCTGGCTGCTGAATTCTCCAAAGTGGTATCATCAGGCAACTGTAGTTTGCTCTAATAAATGTCAATATTGATGTTGTGTTTTACTTTGTATAGAACATGCCCTCATCGTCGTATGGCCTAGGTGTTACCATGATTGCTCACCTTCCATTGAGTCATTCGGGATAGATATCCCATAGAAGCTCCTGTGCACAACATCCAGAATAACTCAGCATGTGCTTGTACCTGAGAGTCATTTAGCTGGATCCATAGTATGTTGATTAATCACGTACGGACGACTGGTAAAATATGATTGAGCGACTTGGATCCAATCCCACAGCTATTAGTGTAGCAAGTGTTTCTTTTCTCCATTTCCTGAATTGGGTCTTTTCTTGGGGCACCGTTAAGGCATGCAAATCAACAACAGAGAAGAACAACCTTGTTCCTTCAGTTGCATTGTTCTGTAACCGAACCCATTCTCTCAGAGCACCCAAGTAATTGCCCAAGTGTGGTACGCCTGTCGGCTGTATCCCGGAGAATATGGTTTGAGTAATGGCTGGAGAACGCAGTGTGGTGTGGCAGCTACTCCATCTTCGGTTGCCATGAACATTTAACTTCGAAAATACAACACTTGGTGTCGATAAAAGTGAGCTAGCGCTGTGTATTTTGCTTAGCCCCTGATTGTGATAGCCTAAGTTAGTAAACATGATTTGGTACCTGCCATACAGAGGATTCGGCATTCGGACATTCGGGTTTCATTTCTTTTAAACTGTGGTCGGTGATGAAAAGCCCAGTTTGGAGACAGGCAATATATCACGTGATGTTCCAAAAACTCCCATCTAAAAAAGAAATATCTCTAGGTGATGCAATGTATGGAGTATTGTGTACAGTTAAAAATCTGAGACTAATCCTCGGTGCCGATTGGGCACTTCCAAACCTTTATCATGTGGAGGACTCTTAGTTGGCTGCCATTGGCCAGTATTTTATAAAAAGTACATAAGTACATATAACAGGTGATATGTCAGGCAGAGTCTTCACACCAGAGAGTAAAAGCTTCTGGCGAGTGAGTGGGGGGAAACGGCATCGCACCGCTCTGTAGGGCGTACTTTGCCAAGCACTTTATAGTAATTTATCAAGACTAACCCAAAGGAAAGAAGGGGATTTATGCCACGTCTCACCCTGTACCGTACTATATCAAAAGAAACATAAAAAGAAAAAGAAAAAGAAAAAGAAAAAAATGAATAACTTGGAATGCCCATTACAGTGTCGCAGGTTTACTAATAAGCACACCATACAGTCTCACTCTGTTTGCATTTGACAAACCGCACCAGCCCAAATACCCAAAATTGTAGGAGCGCCTAGCTCCATAGCCTGGAATCAAGCTACCACGACCTATAGGCATGAGCTCCAAATGCCATTAATGACACTTGCAGCAATACAAGTTCTCTTTGTAAATAATCCACCAAAGCGCTGCAGAGCATATGAACGTAGCACAAGCTGGGTTGACGCAATGAGTAATACCCTGATCTAGATGATCAATATTGGAACTGACGAAAGTCTTCAAAGTTGACGAAATACACCTCACACAGAATTGTAGGTATCAAGATATAATATACAGGAAATTTGATCGCATGAAAATCTACTCTCTGCGAACTGTACTCAAGGGAGCCTTAGATCCAGATGCAGAGAACCGCTCGTTGTCAAGAATGCCTGTAATGGAGAGGTTGTTTCTTGTATCCTGGCGCTGACCAAACTGGGAGATATAAGGAACCAGGGTTTTCTCGACTCCGTGGACAGTCTTATCCATGTTCTCCACGACATCTGCTTGCAAGGTGTTGTTAGCCTGCCACAATCATCAAATAACGAGCATACGGAGTAAGAGTCAACTATACCAAGGCTTTCATGTTCCCACACATTCGCTTTCATGCCGACACCGTAGAATGCATGCTTGCGCAAGAAAGCAAGCCATGCTTGCACAACTTGGGGATTACCATCTTTTATTTGGATCAAACGACGAAGTGTTATACGTTCAAAGTTTTCCTGGCTCTTTTTGTGGACGAAATTGCTTCGAGGGACAGTCCAGCGTTCAATCATCCGTGGTAACGGTACCGGGCCAGAAACAGGAAGCTTTAGGTAGTAGGCGGCACGCACAGCAAAGTCAGCGAAAAACTCCACATTTCGCACACTGTACGATCTTAACTGAAGATCGCAAACTGGAAGACCATATTCAACCTGTCTTCGCAATGGTCGTAAATAAACAGCCTGAACGCTCCTAGGCAGTCGAGCCTTGCTACCGATGCTGTCAAGACGATCTTTCCTATACAAACAGTAAGTTTCCATTTGCATTCATGTCAGTTCCATGTAAGTTATATGCCAGACCATTCTTGTGCACAAAGTCCAGACTGTTCTCTATTTCATATGGAGGGAGCAGAAGTTAGCCAGAGGTTTCACCACTTATGAGAAAAATTATGAAATGAACCAACCTTGATTGTGGTTCACCGGACACACGCTCCTCAGTTATAAGCCGAGATTCATGGCCCTGGTTAATTGCAGTACTGAGGTTTCGAGGAAATGCCTGTAGCCAACTTAAGTCAGTGTTTCCCAGTTGGTGAGCTGCTAGAATAAAAAAGATACCAGTAGCTGTCTGCAAGTCCTTGAAAGAAGACGAGTGTTGAGAGATGAGGTCATGATTAATCATTGATGGTGCGATGCTATAACAATAGAAGTAAATTTTGAAAATGGCTACACGGGAAGGTATTTACTCCCTTAAGAAGAAGGTAGCTAAAACATCTACTTCGTAGCAGCAGTTGCACTGTACGTGCTACTCGAAAAAAGCCTTTCTGAGAAAATAGTATGCAGGCATATTTGATTGGCCAATTAGCTGACCGCCCGTGCGGTCAGTCCATACTTATCACCTCAGTCATGTGTTAGTCGTTAGTATTTCCAAGGCGGTGGCACGTATGCAACGCGCTGTTAACCTCTATGGCAAGACATCTAGAGCATCTATAGTTACCCAACTTCGTCTCCTCAATATCATCATTACAGAGAGTTAAATATTCACTAATGGGTTAAATTGCATCAGTTCTACATCCCATTTTATCAACTGGCAAGAGCGTTGCTTTCCTGCAACCAACCATAGCCACTATATCATTCTTACTGCTAAGAACTTATTGATTGGAACAAGGGCTTGGCCTGATGATGGCCTAGGATTTAGCCTTTTGATTGACTTGATCTCGGCCCGAAGGATCACTCAGTTATTCCTATATTACTTTATATATTATATTATATATATCTTTATGTATGCCTTATTTCTGTCTAACTCTATATCTATACAGCTCAACTGCTTGCGCAGCAATATTATAGAATTAGATTTTTATTATCTTATCTTACTGGCCGCTATCTGAATTATCACAATTAATAATTATAAGCCCGAAATCCGGATTACTATATTATTTAGTTCTTTATTATACTGTTAATAAAACTCTTTATTAAATTATTAAATCTATTGTCAATCAATTAAATTTTGATGAATTATTATTCTCTTTTTAATCTGATTGTTATAAGATTATATTAATAATAAAATTAGTTAAAATAATTGAATTATTAAAGATCTCTATAAAATTAAAGTTGCTATATAATCAAAGGGAATAATTTAAAAATATTAAAGCAAGAATCAGAATATATCAGTTAAATATACAAAAGTATATTAATTTAAATCAAAAAATATTTGTATTTATAAATAAGAGAGTATTAATCTTAATTATTACAAATCTGATTAATAATAATTTTATTAAAAACTTTAGTATGAAAATATTATATTAAAGCAAGAAAAACATTTATAATAAAAAAAAGATAATTATTTAATCAGAGCTTAAGATTATTAAAGAAATAATTAAAGATATTAGATCTATAATTTTAAAAAGATTATGTATAATAATACATAGTATATAAATCTAAAACTAGAGCTAAAGACATTAAATAAAATAATTATTAAAATTAAAATATAAATCTAAGATTACTTAGATCTATATTCTAGTAAAAGATATAAATTATTAAATATTAATAGAAGTTATATAAAATATAATATAAAAGTTCTTATTCTAGCTTAAACTGAAAAAGTTCTTTAAATAAATATTTAATAGAAGAAGCTTATATATATTTAAAAAAATAATAAATCTCTAACTATGAATTATTTTATATAAAACTTATTTAAAATTTATTATAAATATTTTAATTAAGCACAAATCTATTTCTTTTTAATAAAATTAATGTCTAATATAATATATCTGAGAATATTAAAAAATATATTTAAAATTATAATATTTATAATTATATAAAGCTGTAAAGAAAATTTAAGTATAGATTATTATAGTAATTATTAATATTAAATTAATTTTAATAAAAATTAATAATAGATTTTATTATTAATCTATTCAATAGTAAGTTATATACAAATCTTCTTGTAATTATAAACTAATTAATAAAAGAAATAATATTTTATATAATAAAGAAAATTACTGCAAAAGCTATAATTAAAATAGTATTTAAAATATTTCTTAAATAATATAAATTATTAAGAATCTTGATATTAGATCAAGACTTTTAGTTTATAAGTTATATATAAAAGAATATATATAATCTATTAAAAGTTAATAGATAACTATTTATAATATATTATTTTTAAATAAATAAAATATATAAATATATAAATAATATAATTAAAATTTATCTAAGAGCTTATATTATTTATAATCAGAAGAACTAAGTTAATCTATTATTCTTAATTAAATTAATAATAAATAGCTATATATATACAGCTACTAGATTTTGATTATTTCTTCTAAGTTATAATTATAAGTTAAATCTAATATACTCCAAGACTATTTAAAGCATAGATTTAGAAACTGCTTTCTTAAGATTTATTTAACAAAAGAATATAATTATATAAAAAATATATCTGGATCTAAAGTATTATTATTTATATATAATAGAATATAAAAAGACAGATTAATAAATTATGTTAAGCTATTTTTATATATTAAAAAAGATTAAATAAAATGAAGTCTATAGAATATTGTAATACATTATTCAAATAAAAAGCTAGATAAGAAGAATATAAAGTATATAATTCTAAAAAATAGAATTATTTATTATATAGCATAATATTTCTAAAAAGGTTTATTTTATTTTTTATATTAATCTGCTTCAGCCGGCAGTTAATAATATATTATTATTATAAATATAAATATATATACAGCTGCTATTTATAAAAATTAATAATAAAAAAAATAAAATCAAAGAAATCTTTAATAAATAATATATAATAAGAGATCAGAAAAATTAATTATAATATCTAACTAAATAAAAAGACTACATAAAATTAATTTAGAAATTAGTCTTAATATTGAATAATATCAAAGCTATAATATATTGATAGTTATAATTCTAATCAAATTCTAATTAAATATATTGTGATTTATATAAATCTCAAAAGTATAAAAAGGTAAACTAAAAAAAGAGAGAGAGAATCTTTTTAATTCTTTGAATTAACTCAGAAAAGCATTATTTAATTTAATAAAAGATTAATTATTATAAGAATAGTAATTCTTATAATACTTGTGAAATACTATATTATAAAGAATATCTATACTACAGGAGCAGTCTTCTGTAAGAATATTTTACTAGCAGATATTATAATATATAATTTATAAAATTCTTATAAATATATCTTTTTATAAGAGAAATCAAAGAGAAGATTAATAATAACATTTTAAATAATATAAATACTGTCCTAATTTTATAATAAATATATTTTCTTTATACTATTTTAATTAGGCTTGTCATTACCTGCTCGTCAGCTCGGGGTTTGCTCAGCCCGGCTTGCCAAGAAAACCCGCTCGAGCGAGTAAATAAATTTAATAGATAGATTTAAATTTTTTAAATTTAATTTAATTAAATTAATAAATCTATTTTAGATTAAATAATCTAGATTTTAAAAAGTTAGATTTTATTTCTTAATTTAATATATTTATATTATATAAATAAATTATATATAATTATAAACATTTTAAAATTAATAGATCTATTTATTTTTTATATATTAATAAAAAAGCTAATTTTAAATAGAAAGTCTAAACTATATAGAAAGTATATATAATTAATTATAAATTAAATATATATAAAAATAAAATAATTTTTTTTAATTATAATAAAAGCTCAGCTAAATAGACTTTTATTATAATTATTTAAATTAATATAAATATATAATAAAGCTAAAGTTAAATAAGATAAAACTTTTTAGATTATTAATAATAAAAATTATAAAATAGAATAAATAATCTTAATTTTTTATTTTATTATATTATTATTTTAAATATTTAATATTTGTGAATTTGTCTCTTCTAAATTCTTTTTTTATTAATATATTTAATATATTTATTTAAAATTTTATTTTATTTATCTAAATTATTCTCTGATTCTGAATTAAGATTATTATTATTATTATTATTATTATTATTATTATTATTATTCTTATTCTTATTATTATTATTAATATAAAAATCTTATTTTAAAATAAAATTCTTAATATATATTTAAATTATAATAATATAAATAGTCTCTAATAATAGATAATAATAATAATAATAATAAATATTATATAATACATTGAACAGTTATTTAATATTAATATTATTAATTAAAATAGAAAGAAAATCTTAACCTATAATAATAAAAATTAAAAAATTAAAAATATTATTTCTTTCTTATTTAAGAATATTAAATATCTTAACAGAACTTAAAAATAAATTTTAATTAGAATTATAAGAATAGTAATCCTTATAATACTTATAATATACTATATTACAAGAAATATCTATACTGCAGAGAGAGTTTTTTATAAGATAATTATATTAATATAATATATAATTTATAGAATTCTTATAGATATATTTATCTATAAGAGAAACTAGATAAAAAATTAATAATAATATTTTAAATAATATAAATATTATTTTAATTTTATAATAAATATATTTTCTTTATATTCTCTTAATATATATTTTTATAATCTTATTATTTAAAATCTATAAGATAATCTATTAAAACTATATTTATATAAAATATTAGATATTATATTTATAAGACTTTTTTTAATTCTTTAAGAACTAATCATAAAGTTATTATAAAAGAATAATTAAAATAAATATAATTCTATTATTTTCTAAAAATCTTTATAAATAATAGAAAATTTATAAATCTCTGAGTAATTCCAATATCTTATCTATAAAATTAAAAAAGATTAATATATATATATATATATATATATATTTTAATTATTTATTATTTAGCAAGAGTCTACCGCGGAGACTATTAATTAAAATAAGAATTAATAAATATAAATTATAGTAATTTATTTAAATTATATATTTAATAATTTATAAAAAAAAAGAATATAAAGTTTTTTTTAAAAAAATAATTAAATACATTTTTATAAATTTTTTAAAATATAGCTAGATAATTTAAAGAATTATAAATTAAAAATATAATTATAAATCTTAAGAATAATATTTTATAAGAGAAAAAAT